AATTTGGAATTAATAATGTCAGGGGCATTTAATTCTCGCGAGAAGCACGTGGCTATAAGGTCTTATCAGAAAAAGAAAATTGAGGCATTGGAAAACATTCTTTCTTAGTTACTTCCTCGTTCGGCGAGCAAAGCAAGAAGGATCCCCCCACTATGGCTCACATCACCCACGTGGAAATCACTGACCTTGATCTGAGATCTGACTCCCACGACGAGAGGCCAAGCCCCATTGACGAGCTTGACAACCTCCAGATCGGGAAACTCCCCGGGCAATGCACAAAAATCAGCATGCAGTTGAGCCCGGATTTGCGGCGGCAGCTCGAAGCTGAGATTCTCCAGAACCCTGACCTCTTCGCTTGGTCCAGCGCCAACATGCCAGGTATAGACGCTGACTTCATCTATCACAGGTTAGCGATACACAAGGAGGCAAGGCCAGTGGCCCAGAGGAAAAGGTAGGTCGGCGACGAAAGGCGGGAGGCCATCATCACCGAGACACAGAAATTGCTGAACGCTGGCTTCATCTGTGAGGTCAGATACACCAATGGCTGGCGAATGTGGTCCTGGTGAAGAAAAGCTCGGGAAAGTGGCGCATGTGCGTCTACTACACCGACTTGAACAAAGCATGCCCCAAGGACTCATACCCCTTGCCGAGCATTGACAGGCTGGTCGACGGAGCATCCGGACACGCCCTCCTCAGTTTCCTCGATGCCTACTCCGGGTACAACCAGATAATGATGTACCCACCCGACGAGGTGCATACGTCCTTCATCACCGACCATGCCAACTACTGCTACAGGGTGATGCCCTTCGGTCTAAAAAACGTAGGGGCAACTTACCAGCGGCTGATGGATAAGGTTTTTCACCAGTAGATTGGGCGGAACATGGAAGTCTACGTCGACGACATGGTGGTCAAGACCACCTCAGCAACAGACCATGCTACCGACCTCGCCGAGGTGTTCGCCCAGATCAGGAGGCACAACATGCGCCTCAACCTGGAGAAGTGCGTCTTCAGCGTCAAGGGAGGCAAGTTCCTCGGTTTCATGATAACTAGCAGAGGAATCAAAGCCAACCCCGAGAAGTGTAAAGCCATCATCCAGATGCAGAGTCCGCAAACGGTGAAAGAGATCCAACGCCTAGCCGGACGACTAGTCTCACTATCCCGTTTCATCCCCAGACTCGCGAAGAAGGCACGACTGATCTTCACTCTGCTACAGAAGCCAAAAGACTTTTAGTGGACGGATCAATGCGAAGAAGCTTTCCGAAGCTTCAAAACCTTCCTCACGACTCCGCGAATCCTACAGAGGCCGGATCACAAAACCGACCTCCTCCTCTATTTGGTCATAGCAGAAAGCGTCATCAGCACAGTTATAATGCAAGAGCACCAAAAAGTGCAGACACCAATCTACTTCATCAGCCGAGTTCTCCAAGACGTGGAAAAGCGGTACCAAATGATCGAGAAGCTAACATTGGCACTTGTCACCGCAGCTCAGCACCTCCGACCCTACTTCCAGAGTCACCAGGTGGTAGTCAAAACTAACTACCCCATCAAGCAAATTCTGCAAAAGCCCGAGCTCGCCGGACGGATGATTACGTGGTCAGTAGAATTGTCTGAGTTCGGCATCCAGTACGAAAGTCGCGGACCTCTGAAAGCTCAATGCCTGGCCGACTTCGTAGCCGAGCTTACACCTACTACTGCCGAGGAACCTCAGGTATGAACTTTACATGTTGACGAGTCCTCCAACTCTAGGGGAGGTGGTGCAGGTATCAGATTGGAAGGGCCAAACCAAGTCACTTTGGAGCAATCTCTCAAGTTTAGCTTCAAGGTGACCAACAACCAGGCGGAGTATGAGGCACTCCTCGCAGGACTAAGGTTAGCCCACGACCTCGGAGCTCGAAGAGTGAGTTGCAACAGCAACTCGAAGCTCATGGTGGAGCAACTCAGTGGAACCTACCAAGCAAAGGACACTCTTCTACAACAGTACTTCCACGTCACGTCACACCAGATCTCGTCCTTTGACGAGTTCACCATACAACATGTGCCTCGAGAACAAAACACCTGAGCTGACCTCCTCTCAAAGCTCGCCAGCACCAAAAGGCCTGGATAGCACCGAACTATCATCCAGGAGACCTTGCACTCACCCAGCCTGGACAATAAAGTCGTCAACGTCAGTAACAGTGAGGACCAGGGGTGGATGATAGGCATCTGAAATTACTTGAAAGAAGGGATCTTGCCCGAAGACAAGGACGAAGTCGAAAAATGAGGATGAGATCGGCGAAGTTCGTCATTATCGAGGATGAGCTATTCAAACATGGCGTTTCCACTCCACTGCTCAAATGCTTGGCTGCGCCTCAGGCAGCCTACGTCATCGACAAATTCATCGGGGCATATGTGGCATGCATTCCTAAGCACACTCAATGGCGACCAGAGTACTCCGAGCTGGGTACTACTGGCCCATTCTGAAGTCGGATTGCCAGGACTACATATAAAAATGCAAAGAGTGCCAGCAGTTCGGCAACACACACCGGCAACCGCCCGAAGCACTCCACCATATGAAGTCGGCATGGCCTTTCTCCTAGTGGGGGATGGATATCCTCGGGCCATTCCCCCCGGCGAAAGGTCAACTCAAGTTCCTCCTAGTGGCAATCGATTACTTCACCAAGTGGATTGAGGCATCCCCACTCGCCAAAATCACCACTGAGAATGTGCAAAGGTTCACCTGGAGGAATATCATTTGCAGATTACAAAGATTCACCTGGAAAAATATCATTTGCAGATTCGGAATCCCTCACACCTTCGTTACTGACAACGGCCGACAATTCATCGCACAGGGATTCGAGGACTTCCTCCGCGAGCTCGGTATCAAGCATCTTCCGACCTCGGTCGAACACCCCCAAACCAATGACCAAGCTGAAGCAGCCAACAAGGTCATCCTCCGAGAACTTAAGAAGTGGCTAAGGAACGCCAAAGGACAGTGGCCCGACGAACTTCCCAGCATCCTCTGGGCATATCATTGTACCCCCCAGTCAACCACGCAAGAGACGCCTTACAGGATGACCTACGGAGCTGACGCAATGATCCCAGTGGAAGTCGAAGAAACTTCCCACCGATGCCAAGTTTTCAATAGCGAGCAGAAAGCTCGAGAGTTTGCAGCTGACCTCGACTTGGTTGACGAGCTTAGAGACAAAGCTCAAGTCCACGAAGAAGCCTGCAAACTCCGAGCTTCCCGAAGATACAACACCTGAGTGCGACCTCGCTCTTTTCAAGCTGACGACTTGGTGTGGCGATTGCTAGGTGAAGCACGAAGAGACACATCAGATGGGAAGCTTGCACCCACTTGGGGTGGCCCGTCCCGCGTTACAGAAGACTTGAAAAATGGAGCGTATAGACTGGAAGAACTTAGCGGAAAACCTATACCGCGAACTTGGAATGCCACGCATCTCAAGTTTTATTTCAGCTAAATTTTGTATGAATAAGCTATGCATTCTTTTCCCGCCTCAGTCTTTTGTCCCAAACAACAGAAAAATAGGTTTTGGCTGAGAGGGTTTTTAACGAGACACATTGACATAATCAATAAAATGACTCATTCTATTCAACTCATATTCCTTTCGCATTATTTTGTCTTATGCCAAATAGAGGTCGAGTTCGAACCAACTTATTACGCTCTCACTTAAGGTCGAGTCCGAACCTTCACAACGAGTTCCTTAACGAAAATACAAGGTCGAATTCAAACTTTCGTACAATTCACTCTACCTATCCGAGGTCGAGTTCGAACCTTGATTAAATTCATTTGACTCTAATTTGAGGTCGAGTACGAACCTTAATACGCTTATCCAAGGTCGAGTTCGAACCTGGATAAAATTCATCTTAGTCTAATTTGAGGTGAAGTACGAACCCTAATACACTTATCCGAGGTCGAGTTCGAACCCTGATAAAATTCATTTGACTCTAATCCGAGGTCGAATACAAACCTTAATACGCTTATCCAAGGTCGATTTCGAACCTGGATAAAATTCATCTCAGTCTAATTTGAGATCGAGTACGAACCTTAATACGCTTATCCAAGGTCGAGTTCGAACTTTGATAAAATTCATCTTAGTCTAATGTAAGGTCGAATACGAACCTTAATAATACCCTTACCCGAGGTCGAGTTCGAACCTGGGCAAGATCCGTTTTACTCTAAAATGGAGATCAAGTTCAAACCTCGGTATGATTTATCCTAAGCCAAAAGTCGAGTTCGAACCCCAGGACAAAACATTCACATCAGGCCGAGTTCGAGCCCCGCAAAAGTGCAAAACACACAAGTCCAAAAGCAAAAAAGTCATTGAAATCTCGAAAAAACAACATACATATAACAACAAATTCACGAGTTCAACACATGACTTCAAGAAAAAGAAAAAACAAAGCAGAAAAAATTACAAACTTAGCCTACGCATAGGCATTGTCGCTGGAGCTGTCTTCAACGTCATCCTCCTCTCGGTGATCACCCCCGCACTCCACAGCGAGTTCATGTCGGCGGAGGCACTCACGTGGTCCAAGCGCACATCAGAGCGGTCCTTCCCGAAGCAGTGAGCAATATATCAGCTCTAGGAGGCCCCCTGTGACGGACTGACGACGGCGCAAAGGCTGTAGGCATCGCCGTAGGGACCTCAAAACTTGCCCCCTTGCCCCGAACCTCGGCAGCAGCGGAAGCGGCAGCCGACGTCCCCTGCTCAGCTACAGGGGCACCTGCCTCGAGCACCGCCGAGCTCGGAGCTACCAGGGTCTCAACAGCATCTCCCACCTACAAAAGAACATTATATCAAAAGACAAAAAAACAACATAAAAAGTACCAGAAAAATGAAAAATGAGGTACTCACCACGACGGCCTGGGCGACTTGCTCAGCAGCATGAGCCCCCACCTCAGCAGCTATCCCTGCCTGCACAGAGCGATAATACCTCAACAAACCAAGCAAAATCAACACAGAAGAAAAGTTAAAGCGAACAAGACACTTACCTTGGCAGAGGGAACAGCCTGCTCAGCAGTCTCCACAACAACCACTTGGGGAACCTCCCCAGGCGGAGGGCTCCCGGTGAGGTCGACTGCGTCGGCATCCGCAGCCTTGGAAGTCACCTCCTCCGTGCCGCGAGGGGCAGAGGACCCCCGGACCTCTTTCTCGCCCCTCTTTCTTTTTCGGTTGATCTTCAAGTGGGAAATCTCCTCCTCCTAAGGCTTTGGGACCTCTATCTCGGCAACATTATAGCGGTGCTTTAACTCGCACCACTTATTTTTGCCCATTATGCCTGCAAACACAGCAAATAAAAATATCAGCAAAAGAGAGTTTCACAATCCCTAACTGTTGCGGACGAGGGAGCGCTGCAAGGTTCTCAACGGCGGCCGCCTCCGAAGCCGTCAGTTTTAATTGGCCCACCCCATGAAACCTAGACGGTTTGGGGCACCAATAGAAAGGGAATTTCGGCAACCTGCCGAAGTAAAACGCCCCATCCTCCAAAGGATCGACATCCACAAGAGCGACCCGGAAGAACTCTTGCTTATAATTTTTGTATGATTGGGAGTAGAGAGTAAATAAATCCCCATCCCTACTCCCACTTAGTGACAGCACGCCATAAGGCAGAACGCCTATTTTGAGTTGATAAAAATGAAGAAAGACAGGAAGAGACACCTCTATTCCTAAAGACCGAACACAGGACTTGAAAAGCCCTAAAAAAATCCTAACTGTTGGGGTGCAACTGGCAAGGAGCCGAGTTGACAAAATTCAAGAAGTCACACTCGAATTGTGTGAAGGGAAGGCAAACGCCCAAATCCCTGAAGAAGCATTGGTAAACATAGAAATGAGGAGGGTCAGTAGACTTCCCCATGTACACACCCTCACCGGCCTGACAGGGCTCAAGCCGGATCATTCGGGAGATGGAAGAATCATAAATTCTATGTGATTTTTGAATCGCATGAACCTCAAGAAAAGACCAGAACACGCTTTGGGCCTCACCCATCTTGTGTCGAACCCAATCGTAACCAGGAATGCCCTTAAGCGGGTTCACCCCCTTCTTTTTCTCGATGGCGGCCGTTCCGGTAGCCACTGCCTTGCCCCGCGCCTTGCCCTTACCCTTGGCAGGCGTGGAGGAACCACCACCACTCTCTCCAGCCATGGAGAAAACAAGAAAGTCTCGAAGAAGATTGGGGAAGAAGGAAAAAAAACTGCAGAAAGGAAGTACCTGGTACTCTTCCTCAGAAAACAACCCTAACAATGACTGGGTTACCGGAAATGACGGCAGAAACGGAGAAAATGGAGATGGAGGATAAACGGAAACGAGACAAACGGCATGCGCAAGAAGTTGAAAGAGCGAAAAATGAGTAAAGTGAAAAGAGAAGAGGCGCGAGGGAGAGAAAAAGGTTTTTCCCAAATTCAAAACGGCCATGTCACGTGTCGACCAAGGGGCAAGTCTGACGCCACATTAATGGAAAACCATTATGACAAATGAAAACCATCATTACATACCCATTAACGCACGTTTTTGGGAAATGACCAGTTATGACACATGGCATCTCAACAAGCAAGCGTACGCGAAAGGTCACTGCTCCCTGCACTACAAGAAAATTACATATTAGCGAGGGACTATTCCCTCGCTATTTCGTCTCTAATCTCTCGCTAATCAGATTTGCGACGGAATAGTGATGAATTTGCGAGAGACCATTCCCTTGCTATATACAGGTAGCTAATTAGCGAGGGATTAAATCCCTCGCTGATCTGTAGCAAAATCCGTCGCCAATCCCTCGCTAAGTTCCTCGCTAATTATATTAAGGATGCTTACTATTTGCTCGCTAATTTGCGGTCAAGCTTCCTCGCTATTCCCTCGCTAAGGGGTCGCAAAATATCCCTCTCTAATTTGTAGCTAATCCCTCGCTAATGTTCCCTCACAAACCCCTCTCTATTCCCTTGCTACATTTCTTAGCTAAGGCCTTGCAATTCCCTCGCTGAATATCCCTCGCAGACCCTTCTCTATTCCCTCACAATATTTCCCTAGCAATTATCTCGCTATTCCCTTGCAATATTTCCCTAGCAATTGTCTCGCTATTCCCTCGCAATATTTCCCTAGCAATTGTCTCGCTATTCCCTCGCAATATTTTCCTAGCAATTACCTCGCTATTCCCTTACAATATTTCCCTAGTAATTGTCTCGCTCTTCTCTCGCAATATTTTCCTAGCAATTGTCTCGCTATTCCCTCACAATATTTTCCTAGCAATTGTCTCGCTATTCCCTCACAATATTTTCCTAGCAATTGTCTCGCTATTCCTTCGCTATATTTTCCTAGCTATTTGCTCTTTTTTTCCTCGCTATTTTGTCTTTCACATGATATGCCTCGCTATTTCCTAACAGATCTCTTACTGTTATGTTTTGGTTATCATTACTAATCCCTCGCTATTTCCTAGCTTGTTAGCTGAAAAGTATTTTTCTCTTATTACATCACGGAATAATTTTTCTGGGATTGGCTTACAGGACCAAATAATATCGAACTTAACCTACAGCAAATTGTTGTGAAAGTGTGACCATAAAATTAATCATTGCAAGAAAAATACACTCAGAATCAAAAGAAGGCTTTTCTGAATACTGATGTGAACAGAAACTCAGAAAATGATGCGAGTGGATTTTTACCTGAGCAGGTATTGCTTCCCCACTGCTGCAAAGGCATTAGGCACAATATTTATAGCCCCATCACAGGAAGCCTTAAACACACCGTGAAGTTGTCTCTTCTCATATTCAAATAAGAATAAAATCATTCAGGCTTTAACCTTCTCTACAAACTGGATTTCAGTTGACAGAAGGCCAAATAATCCCCTCCGGAAGCTTTCTCTCTTTGTGTCACTATTCGAAATAAAGATTGCACCAAAATCCGGGTCTTTTCCATCAGCATTATTGTGCTTATCACTGAATCCCATGGCGATATATTTACTACACTACGCTGTCACATTAGAAAATAGACAACACGATTTGCATTGTGTAAATATAGTCACACAACAAAACAAACAGCTTTCAACTGTCAAACATCAATCAGTATTCAGCAACTTTAAATGCTAACCCTAAAGTTAAATCCCATAGTTGAAAAAATAAAATCATAATCAACAATACACAATAACCTCATCCCAAACAACTATCAAGCAATTGATTGAGAAACACTTAAAAAAAGGAAAACAAGGCACATTCGCTACCATCACAGCATAACATATTTTTCACTTTTCACTTTTCACTTTTCACTTTTTCAGTCCAGTTTTATTAATCCAGTCCAAACAAACCTAACCTAAAATATTATTCATCTTTCTTTCTAATTTAAATTTTCGAAACAAAAAAGATTTAATCCCGTCTCACAATACAAACAACGACTGCATAGTTTGATCGGAATAGAAACAAACAACCACCGAAAAGATTCCATAAATACGATAAAGAACACAAAAAGAACAATCCGCAAACTGTGGAGCGAAGCGTGGTTAGAGCGGCGACGATGACAACGGATTAAAAACGCAAAGAATAGAGAGAAGAGAATGCATGTACGCGATAACGGAAAAGGATCGATGCGGAGTGAGAATGGAAAAGTGGAAGCGTACCGAAGAGGGTTTGGGAGTGAGACGCGATTGTGAAGAGAGTAATGTGACGGGTCTTTCTCATTTGCAATACACAACACAGTCGTGCGTGACGCATCAACGAAACGTTCTTATAGAGGGAAGGAACCGTGCAAATCTAAGTGGGATAATATAAAAAATGAAAATAAAAAAGAAAATATAATGGTCGCGCTTTTTTGGATTTTCAATTCCACGTGGCATGTGTATCCAGCTGCCACGAGGCTCTGGTTTGGGCCTTGGCTTACATAATACCCCACCAGATACAACAAATAGAGATGGCAAAAACGGTATGGTGTCTAAACGGCTTTTTGACCTCAGTAAATTAAAAAAAATTAAAAATATATGAAATAAATTAAAAAAAAAACTAATTACTGAAATAGGTAGTTTTGGACAAGTCAGCATATACGTGGTACTGAAAATGTCGGGGGGTGGGTGTTTTTTAGAAAAAGCCTCCCTCCCAGGCGCCTTCTATTGCTGATGTGGCACGGGCAAATTTGAACTGAAAACGCCTCCCACCTAGGCGTTTTGTTGACGTGTCAGATTTGAACTGAAAGCGCCTCCCCCCAGGCGCCTTCTATTTTCAGAAAGAGCCTCCAAGGAAAAATTGATTTTGAAAATTTTTATCCTAAAAATATTCCGTTTCTCCCAAACGCTCGTTTTGGTTTAGTTAAACATTTATCTCACCCTCCTTGGGTGAAGACACTTGACCCTTTTTACCTTGAGCACAAAGAAATTCCTGTAAAAGATCGAGTTACTTACGCGAGATGTTTCGTGTACGATTTTCCTCGAAGGAGATGGTGGCCATTGTGTTGGGTCGATAATACCAATCCTCCCCCTGGTAGATGTCTTTAACAAATAAGATTATATAATTTTATCTTGTACTCGTCTCATCCTTGCCTTTCATTATGCAGCTGCTATCCCTCAGCGTGTTCCTCAACATCCTGAGGAAACTCCGAATTGGGAAAGTGATGATGAGGATAATGGGTCTTCTCTGAAGACTCAAAAAAGAAAGACTGCGTCGGATAAGGCTTCCCTTCGTTCTAAGGTACAACTTCTTTCGATCTATACTTTCAATTAGATTCATTTAACACTACCCTCTCTAAATCTTTTGTACTTGCAGAATCTTGAAACTTCGAAGAAACAAAAAGCAGATTCGTCTAGTGCCAAGACTGTGAGTACTACATCTTTATCCTCTCATATTTTCTCCTTTCTCATTTTTCTTTGTTCCTTTAGGTTTCGACTTCGAGGAAACTTGATAAAGGAAAAGGCAAACAACAAGTCCCTCTACCAAAAGTGACCCAGAAGCCACAAGTCGAGAAGTTTCTTAAAGATGCAATGAAATTTATTCCTAAGGTATCTGACTTGTAGCTCGATTCTCAGTTTCCTTACTTATTCGATTTCTAAGATTTTGTAACTGTAGGGTGTTGAGGTGATTCAAATTGATTCTTCTCGAGACATCTCTAAGGACACTCCTATTTCCACTAGAGAACCACAACAGGTTCGACTTCCCTTAATCTTTATTTCTTTGCACTTTGTTTCTTCTTATCGTTTAACTTTATTTTCTTGCAGTTGATTCCTCCACAATTGAACATTGTCGAGAAGGCCTCGACAGATATCCCTCCTTAGAGTAATGAGGGTAAGGTTCCTTTGTCGAAGCCTTTGGTGAATATTGAAACCCAGCACCAATCTTCTCAAGATGAAGGTCTCTGTTTCAAGCTTAAGCCTCCATTAAGTCCAAATCGTGGTATAACTCTTGTCCATTTCTATCTATCAATTGTTGTACGAATAAATGTACCTTTCTTATTTTCTTTTCTTGTGCAGATTCGACCGATTCTCCAACTTTGACTCCCTCTCCATCTAAGCAAGTTTGTGTCGAATCATCGAAGCCTCCTACCCCTTTTCTTCAATCTACTGATTTAGATTTAATCAGCTTCTTCCATGACGACCTCGAGGTGGATAATATTTTTGATGTTTTAGAGAACTGGACGAGTGGTACTTCTATTTTTTAGAAATCCCCTGAGTCAACTGCTAATTTCCAACCCTTGCTCGAGTCTTTTCGGTCTAAAGCTTATGTTGAGGACCTTGATCATGCATTTGTTGTTCCCGAATTCAAAACCGAGGTTCAACAAATGATAGATGACTTACTCGCCTTTCTAGACCTTCTTCCCGAAGTTCATCTTGAACTTCAAGAGTTCATTAAACCCTTCACTCTCGCTCATGATCTTCGAGCTAAATGGGGTGACACTTTTTAGGAGGTGGCTCATATTGAAGTGGGGACCGAAGGAGATCATGCTAAGCTTGAACATCTCAAGCAGGAATTGCTCTCGATTAGGAAATCCACTGAAGAGATGATTCCTGCTCTGAAAAAATTACAACAAGAGGAGGCTGACATCGAGAAATCTATTGAAGCCGTGCAACATGAGCTTAACAACTCACGCTCGAAACAAGTTGCTTTGAAAGCTGAAAGCCAAGACGTTGTTCAACGTCAGAAAAATCTCAAAGATGAGGGCAAGGTGATATCTTCGAGACTTGTGAAGACCTTGGAGCAGAAGAGACATCTGGAGGCTTAGTGCGCTTCTCGAAGGCAAAATCTGGATGAGGCTTATTAGGCCTTTAAGGATTTCAAATCCAAGTTTTGTAATAATTAAATTCTCGAACATCAATGTTAATTTCTCTTGGGTTTATATTGGATGTATGCTTTAGTACTTTGACCTTTTATGAAAGCATTTTAAGTATTTCCCATTAATCACTTTACTTGCTGCATTCGAATTTATCTCTTTAATCACGTATGCATTTTTTGAGTACACTTGATCGATTATAAAGGGTCCCTCCCAACTATAAGACCACTTTCCTAAGTGTCGAGATTTTTGATCCATGAGAAGAATCACTTTTAACACTAAGTCACCAACTCAAAAACTACGCACTTTGACTCTTTTATTGTATGTTTTCTCGATTCTTTCCTTTTGTTGAACAAGATTTTGCAATGCTATCAACCTTTCTTCCTCTAAAGGTACCAACTCATCATACATTAAATTCCAATAATCCTCAATAGGCAAGTCATTCTGCTTCTGTATGTGAATTGATTGCAAATTAATATCTATGGGAAGAATAGCCTCATGCCCATACACCAATTTATATGGGGTAGTTTTTGTAGCATCTCTTGGTGAATTTCTATAAGCCCACAATATTTGGACAAGTGTTTCATGCCAACTTCGAGGCTTGCTCGAGATATGTTTCTTAATTAAACTAACAATTATTTTATTAGCAGCTTCTACTTGTCCATTTGCTTGTGCATAATATGGTGTTGAAGTTACTAATTTAATTCCTCTCGATTGAGCATATTGAGCAACTTTTCGACCCGTAAAAACTGTGCCTTGATCAGTAGTAATTGTTTGAGGAATTCCAAACCTTGTTATAATATGATCTTCGACAAAATCAATTATATCTTTTTGCTTGACTTCCTTCAAAGGAATTGCCTCAACCCATTTTGTGAAATAGTCTATGGCAACTAATATATATTTATGATTTTTTGAGGAGGGTGGATGAATTTGTCCTATTATGTCAATTGCCCAACCTCGAAATGGCCAAGGTTTAATAATCGAATGTAATTCATTTGCTGGTACTCTTTGTATTGGTCCATGTTTCTGACATTCCTCACAACTTCTTGCGAATTCGATACAATCCTTGAGCATGGTTGGCCAATAGTACCCTTTTCTCGATAAAGTCCACTTCATTTTTTCACCTGCCTGATGTGCTCCATAGATACCTTCATGTATTTCTGCCATAGCTATATAACTTTCATGATTCCCAAGACATTTAAATAAAATTCCATTGAAACCCCTCTTGTATAATTCGTTATTCAAGATGACATAATTAAGGGCTTGGATTTGTCCATCCGTGGGAAATTACCCACGGATTATTCCGTGGGAAATTACCCACGGATAAATCTGTGGGAAATTCTGTGAAAAATTATCTTTTTTTAATTCAAATTTGTATTAAATAATTATCATATTTAAGGATATTAAATCAATCATAATTCTGTAAATCAAAACAAGTTCATTCATACAAAATAAAATGTTATACATAACAAATAAAGTTTAGGAGTTCAAATTTAAAAATAACATATAGTAGGATCGGTAGAATTATAACATAATGTCTAATAATCAGAATATCCATGTTGTTGCTATCTAATAATCAAAGATTGAGGGGTTTCAATACATTCTTGGAATGTAAACTCAAAAAATTTAAAAAAATTAATTTAATTATATAATGAATAATCCAAATTATATTTATAAAATAAAAAGTAAGATAAAATTATAGAGATTAAAATTATAAAATTTTAATAATGTTATAAAACATTAAAAAAGAAAAGAATTAATAAATAATAGAAATAAAAAATTATTAAAATTACAATATAGAAATTCAAAAATTTAAGACAAAAAGACAAAAATATACTTAAAAAATAATTCAAATTAAAATATGGAAATTCAAATATTTTAAGTGAAAAGACAAAAATATACTTAAAAAATTACAAACACAACATAACATTGTTCCAATTTCAAAATAAAACTAAGAGCAAAATCCCGTTTCCCCCCTTTAACTCTGGCTCATGCACACTTTAGTCTTCAATCTTTAAAAACACACAACACAAAATGCAAAACTAAAATTGATTCCTGTAGCCTTCCATCTTTTGTGGAACAATTCAACAGTATGCAAAACTGCCATCTGTAAATAAATTGATATATTATGTATGTTGAATTGCATTCCTGTACCTGTGTATAAGATCCTATGCACTAAACATAGAATCCTGGAGCACAACATTGGAAGTTTTGGAACTGGGCAAAGATATTTAAAAATCCAGGGTCCATTGAGGCGGGTCAAGTAGCATGTGAATTTGTCCAATTAAGTTTACAATAACAATGCCACATTACAAAAAGGAGAAAATCATAAACTATAATATCAACAACACTTTCGGAAACAACAAACATGTATATGCCACATTCATTTTGTGAACATATTTGGTAATTGAGCATACCAGTGGATCAGGAGAGTGTGCATAGTACTTAAAAATATCAACAAAATCTTCAGTTGTTAATGAGTGATTTCTGGAATCAAAATCTTCAAGTAACTTTGAAGCCTTCCTTCTCTAGCCCGAGCAGAGCACCTTGACAACTTGCATCTGCATAGATGGTCCTGTTGCAAATTCCATAAATTCATGACTTGCATTTCGTTATACACTATATCCCTCGTGTTAGGTGATTGACAAGTGGACATAATATGATTAAGGTGCAATTGATTTGATAAACATGAAATTAAGAATACCTATTGTGGAGGTGAGATTTTGCGAGAAGAGGATTTGACTTCCCTAGAATAAGAAGAAAAAGAGGCGTTAGGTTAGGGAAGAGAAAAGGGAAGAATAGAAGAATGGATGAGATTGACGGACATTTAGAAGCATAAACATTTAGAAGCAGGAAAAAACAAATGATGCCCAGAGGACAGGACTGTCAACAACATAGTGAGCATGTATGTCAAACAAGTTACCATTGGAAAAATCATAGACAAAGAGACTGTTTTGATACAAGTTTAGATAAGTTTTTGAGAATTTTTCGATTAGAAAAAACTCATTATTTTCAATAGAGAAGCTCTTAAAAGTTTTTCTAAGTTTGTATTTAAACAGACTCAATATAATACTTCAAACAAATGTATCGTGTACAAGAGTGTTAAAAAGAACATGTCTTGTGGTGTAGGACTCACAGCGATGAATCCATTGCGCAAAGCCAAGTAGTCAGCCTTGCCCACAGACCTATAAAATTGTCTAAAGAAGCATCCCTGAAATTGGAAACATGCAAGAAATTGTATACAAGAGGTCAATTTAAAAAGAGCATCTTAAATTTAATTTGTTATAAGTAAGCAGGTATTTTATTACTAATGATATGAAAAAATGGCAATAGTGAATTCATTAGTAGTTCTAATTCACTGCCCCATTTTTCTGAGCCATACCACATACAACCTTAAGCCAATAAAAAGTGAAAACATAGCAGATTAGTAAAATGAATCTTACTATATAGAAGAAGATTGAATATCTTGTCCAAAATGAAGCATGACCTCTCACAAACGATGTTTCATGTGTAAGCCAGAATCTTGAAGGATCTGCAGGAATAGTAAATTCCCAATATTGGCATGAGATTGCATGTTGCAGCATTTCAAAGTAAATTGGAATACTTATCAGTAAAATTAAGCAACTAGTTATTTTTACACTCAAAAAATGTTAAATACATCATTGGTCATTGTACCATTGGCAAACTCGTAACCATGAGATGAAGTTTCTGCCTCCCATGCCTTCCATCCTCGAATCTGAACAAAAGAAACTTTCAATCACCATAGTAATTTGCCAACTCTTCGTTATCAAGGAACAATAAAGACAGTTTATAGTGCTGACAATAACAAAAATGCATAAAAGTAAAAATAGCTACAGCAACATAAAAACCAAGTAAGTTTCTAAAAAACACTACCTTTTTTACTGCTTAGGAGTGTTAATAAGTGAGGAGAACTCTGAAGATATATATTGGTCCAGATAAATGCTGTGATATATGAAATGCCACAACCTAGCAGCAACGCCATAGCCACAATCAGGTTCCCTTAATCCTTCGGGGGAATCTTATGGAAGCCTATGCTGGCTCAACGAGGAGACGATCCAAAACGAGGTATGGATGGTAGATCTTCAACACGCATCCCACCATCAAGCAAAGACCTCATCATCACGGCCCCAGCGGTGTCGGCAAGGACGCCCTCACCGCCAGCCTTCGTGAGTCCTGCCGCAACCTACACTTCATTGTCACCGCCACCACGTGTCCCTGTCGCCCCTCCTAGCTCCACGGTCGCGACTACCTCTTCGTCTTCAAGGACGACTTCCTCGCCATGGTCCACTGTGACGAGCTCCTCGAGTACGTGCTCATCTACGGTGACTACAAGAGCGCCGCCACGCTTCGTAAGGCCCTCGGCAAGTTTGCCGTGTTTGTCTTCGTGGCTACCGAGAGCAAGATGGCCTTGGTGGAGAGGAGAGATCTTGGAGGGAGGAGGTTGACGTTGTGAGAATGGTGGAGGCACTTCAGATTGCAACGCACACTGTACGTGATAAACCCTAGCTTCAATACTACATCGGTTATTTTGAAAACCGATGTAGATCTACTTGTAAATATTTACAAGATTGCCACCGCACATTTAAATTTACATCGGTCCAATTAAAACCGATGTAAAATGCTTAATAATTACATCGGTTTTGTACATAACCGATGTAAATTTGCTTTCCATTCAACTTATATTTACGAATATGCCACCGCATCTAATTTTTACATCGGTTCTACCTAAACCGATGTAAAATTGACGATGTAGAATTGCACCTTTCTAGTAGTGAGGAGTACCTTCTTCGCCATAATGTGCACTGACGAAGGCAAAATACGTCTTTTTGTCCCAGACGATCAAAGTTTCGGTCATCAGAATCTCTTCTTCGAGAATGTCAAGAAGATAACGGTCCCTAAAGGTTTCAACCCCGTAATGGTAGCGATATACAAGAGAGTTGGGCAGAAAAAACCATAAGGAAATTTGAAAGCACGAGTTTCCCTATTCCAAAAGAAAATAGTAGATAACAACATCTGGGGATCGAAAACGTTCAGATCGTACTTCGATAATTGAACGAAATCGAATATTCCAACTTCCTTCCAAATAGATTGCTTCGAGGCCTCAACACGGTCCAACCATTGAATGTGTTTGTCCTTAGGAGGAGGAAAAGCTCGAAACATCTTCACAGCATCCGAAAAAAGAGAAAGGTCGATGCTTGGAGAGTAAACGAAAGGGAGAGTTGAATCATCTTCTGGAATCAAATCATTATGAGTCTTCTTCTTGCTCGGATTTGAAAAGGGGCCTAGAAAAGCATGCATTGATCCGTCAGAAAGCGAAAAAGGAAGAAGTACCTGTGATTAGAAGATTTTGAGACTAGCTTCCTCCATGCCAGGGATAAGAACGAACGGGTTCGCCCCTTCACCCAAGGTGGAAATAGTTGCATTCTCCGTCAGCAAAGGAATGGAAGGAGTAGGGGAAACCGTCGAAGTCGCGGGTGTAGCCGTAGACGCGGACGCAGCGGAAGTGGCCATGGAAACGAGATGAAGATGAAAAGTTCAAAGGTAAAAGAATGAGTGAGTACTAAAGAACAGTAAAAGGTACTCAAATGGATGAAGTGAAAGGTTATATGAAAGAGCAAAATGGGCCAAAGCGCAGTAAAAGCCCGCTGTGAAATTCAAAAAAGGGGGAATTCAAATTTTTGGGTAACTGAAAATATTCGCTAACGGACAAAAATTGAAATTGTGTCAGCATATCCCAGAGAAGTGGAATCAATTCCGCCAAATTTATTGTAGCAGGTACGAAAAGGAGAAATTTGGAATTAATAATGTCAGGGGCATTTAATTCTCGCGAGAAGCACGTGGCTATAAGGTCTTATCAGAAAAAGAAAATTGAGGCATTGGAAAACATTCTTTCTTAGTTACTTCGAAACAAATGTTTTCCAAGGGGCATTTGTTAGCACCAGAAAATGAATTCAGAGATACTCAAAATACAGGGGTGCTCAAAATCTTAGTTGATTGGAAAATGGCAAAAGAAGTTTCTGAAGAGAGCATACGAAGCCTGAAGAGAATTAAGAGATACACGAAGACACTTTTCGTGAAACTCTCGAAATCATGGAACCAGGAAGGATGCTGCCCAGGAGAAAGGCTCACAGCCTCACAACCTCTCAAAGTACAAGCAAACTAAGGAAACATTCAAGTATAGTTTTCGTTGGTTACTCGAAATCCTAAGAATCCGGACATACACGAATACACTTCCTAACCTCTCAGAATGAAGAAATTAAAGGAGACACGATTTAAGAGCGGTCGAAGTAACATAGGATAAGTGTCAAAGGCTGGAGAACAGTTTGGGGGAGTTAATGAGAAGTTCCAAGAGTCATCCAAAGACGTGCCTGGGAATAAGCCACGATGTGGAAGTTTGGAACGGTTATGCACTTCTAGGGCACGTAAGAAACAATTATCTTTCCCAAATCTTTGTCTATAAATCAAACGAGCCATGCTCGTAGCAAGGGGTCAGAAATCTAATTTCCACAATACCTCACACGCACTCTGCAGCCTGCACATAAGGCATACTGTGCATATGAGACAGCTTTGGGTACGATTTCTCGACCACCTATCTTTTTTCCTTTTTTAGGAGTAGCTTAACATAGCGTAGCATAGCATAGCATAGCATAATCTAGTCTAGTGTAGTGTAGTCATCTGAACATGTTTCGTCATCCTTAAAAATTGTAATTCTGTTACCATTTAATGAAGGATATGATTTCTGCAGTCAATATACATGTCATTTGTTCGATTCACGTTAATTCTTACATGCATGAATTTGATTGTATAATTAGCATAGATCTTATGATATGCTGAAACAAGCATAAATCTTCTGACGTGCTAAAACCAGCATAGATCTTCTGACGTGCTCGAACAAAGAGCATAGATCTTCTAATGTGCTGAAATAACACCTTAATCGATCAACTCTATTTGTTGTTTGTATGATTTATTTTTCACTGAAAGTCTTCGATTATGTCATGTCACGAACACGCATAAATTCAAAGTGAAGTTGTGCTAGTTCGAACAAAAAGAACCTACGAACGAAATCCTCCACAAACAACCTGACAACATTGGTCGAACCATCTTTGATGCATCTGCCTCTTTATCGAAAATGGTACAAAGGAACATCCGCTTGAAAAAGGTTATTAATCCGCAAGGAAAAATTGATTTTGAAAATTTTTATCCTAAAAATATTCCGTTTCTCCCAAACGCTCGTTTTGGTTTAGTTAAACATTTATCTCACCCTCCTTGGGTGAAGACACTTGACCCTTTTTACCTTGAGCACAAAGAAATTCCTGTAAAAGATCGAGTTACTTACGCGAGATGTTTCGTGTACGATTTTCCTCGAAGGAGATGGTGGCCATTGTGTTGGGTCGATAATACCAATCCTCCCCCTGGTAGATGTCTTTAACAAATAAGATTATATAATTTTATCTTGTACTCGTCTCATCCTTGCCTTTCATTATGCAGCTGCTATCCCTCAGCGTGTTCCTCAACATCCTGAGGAAACTCCGAATTGGGAAAGTGATGATGAGGATAATGGGTCTTCTCTGAAGACTCAAAAAAGAAAGACTGCGTCGGATAAGGCTTCCCTTCGTTCTAAGGTACAACTTCTTTCGATCTATACTTTCAATTAGATTCATTTAACACTACCCTCTCTAAATCTTTTGTACTTGCAGAATCTTGAAACTTCGAAGAAACAAAAAGCAGATTCGTCTAGTGCCAAGACTGTGAGTACTACATCTTTATCCTCTCATATTTTCTCCTTTCTCATTTTTCTTTGTTCCTTTAGGTTTCGACTTCGAGGAAACTTGATAAAGGAAAAGGCAAACAACAAGTCCCTCTACCAAAAGTGACCCAGAAGCCACAAGTCGAGAAGTTTCTTAAAGATGCAATGAAATTTATTCCTAATCAAAATACAGGGGTGCTCAAAATCTTAGTTGATTGGAAAATGGCAAAAGAAGTTTCTGAAGAGAGCATACGAAGCCTGAAGAGAATTAAGAGATACACGAAGACACTTTTCGTGAAACTCTCGAAATCATGGAACCAGGAAGGATGCTGCCCAGGAGAAAGGCTCACAGCCTCACAACCTCTCAAAGTACAAGCAAACTAAGGAAACATTCAAGTATAGTTTTCGTTGGTTACTCGAAATCCTAAGAATCCGGACATACACGAATACACTTCCTAACCTCTCAGAATGAAGAAATTAAAGGAGACACGATTTAAGAGCGGTCGAAGTAACATAGGATAAGTGTCAAAGGCTGGAGAACAGTTTGGGGGAGTTAATGAGAAGTTCCAAGAGTCATCCAAAGACGTGCCTGGGAATAAGCCACGATGTGGAAGTTTGGAACGGTTATGCACTTCTAGGGCACGTAAGAAACAATTATCTTTCCCAAATCTTTGTCTATAAATCAAACGAGCCATGCTCGTAGCAAGGGGTCAGAAATCTAATTTCCACAATACCTCACACGCACTCTGCAGCCTGCACATAAGGCATACTGTGCATATGAGACAGCTTTGGGTACGATTTCTCGACCACCTATCTTTTTTCCTTTTTTAGGAGTAGCTTAACATAGCGTAGCATAGCATAGCATAGCATAATCTAGTCTAGTGTAGTGTAGTCATCTGAACATGTTTCGTCATCCTTAAAAATTGTAATTCTGTTACCATTTAATGAAGGATATGATTTCTGCAGTCAATATACATGTCATTTGTTCGATTCACGTTAATTCTTACATGCATGAATTTGATTGTATAATTAGCATAGATCTTATGATATGCTGAAACAAGCATAAATCTTCTGACGTGCTAAAACCAGCATAGATCTTCTGACGTGCTCGAACAAAGAGCATAGATCTTCTAATGTGCTGAAATAACACCTTAATCGATCAACTCTATTTGTTGTTTGTATGATTTATTTTTCACTGAAAGTCTTCGATTATGTCATGTCACGAACACGCATAAATTCAAAGTGAAGTTGTGCTAGTTCGAACAAAAAGAACCTACGAACGAAATCCTCCACAAACAACCTGACAACATTGGTCGAACCATCTTTGATGCATCTGCCTCTTTATCGAAAATGGTACAAAGGAACATCCGCTTGAAAAAGGTTATTAATCCGCAAGGAAAAATTGATTTTGAAAATTTTTATCCTAAAAATATTCCGTTTCTCCCAAACGCTCGTTTTGGTTTAGTTAAACATTTATCTCACCCTCCTTGGGTGAAGACACTTGACCCTTTTTACCTTGAGCACAAAGAAATTCCTGTAAAAGATCGAGTTACTTACGCGAGATGTTTCGTGTACGATTTTCCTCGAAGGAGATGGTGGCCATTGTGTTGGGTCGATAATACCAATCCTCCCCCTGGTAGATGTCTTAGTGCCACGTGTGTGTTGACTTGTCCAAAACTACCTATTTCAGTAATTAGTTTTTTTTTTTAATTTATTTCATGTATTTTTAATTTTTTTAATTTACTGAGGTCAAAAAGCCTGTCTAAACAGATAAACTTTTTTTACTTTTTGTAACGGTTTGATAATATTTTTTAAATCTTATAGTTAAAAACAGTTGTTTTTAGATTTTTAATCTAGAAGATATATTTTTTCGTTATCCACTTTTTTAATATTATTTTTTTATTAATTTATATCTAAGGATAAAATAATATATATATAAATAATTGTATTCTTTAAAAATAATAATTATTCACTTTTTATGAAAATATTATTTTATTTTTTAATAATGGCACGAATTGTTTT